TCAATAACTTGACGGAAGGTAAAACACCTCAACTTGACCACTACATCAACGGCCGTGAATACAATATGGGGTATTACTTGGCAGATGGCATCTACCTAAAGTGGGCGACACTTGTCCAAGCAATTCCAAACCCTAGGAATGAGGCAGAAAAATTGTTTACCTTATACCAAGAGGCATACCGGAAAGATGTTGAGAGAGCTTTCGGTATTCTACAAGCACGGTGGAAGATTATCAGCGAACCGGCAAGAGGGTGGAGTCGAGAAAATTTGAACTCCATCATGATGTCTTGCATCATATTACACAATATGATAGTGGAGGATGAGCGAGATGGGTATATTGATGGAGAGTCCAATGATGACCAAAAAGATCCAAATAGGTCAAGAAGGGCTCTAGCAAAAATATATGATGGGCCTAATTTGCCTTTCAATCCAAGAACTGGTAGTATCTCTATAAATGAGTATATGAGGCGCTATAGAATGATACGTTCTCGTGCCACAAATAAGTACCTACAACAGGATCTTGTTGCACATCTTTGGGCCAAAAGAAGCATGGAGTAGGCTTTTAAGTTTTATGTTGTTAAATGTTTTTAAAAATGTTGTTTAAGTTTCATGTTGTTAAATGTTTTTTTATGTTGTATAATTTGTATGTTGGTTAATATTATTTAATGTTGTTTCATATTGTTTAATGTTGTTTCATGTTACTTAATTTAATTTAATGTTGTATAAATGGCCTAGGAAGTTATAGGAAAAAAATAGAATTGAAAAAAAATATGAAACCAATTTTGTGAAATAGAAGTTATAGGAAAAAAAAATGGAATTTAAAAAAATATGAAACAAATTTTGTAAAATAGAAGTTATATGAAAAAAAAATATGAATCAATTTTTGTAAAAAAATATAGAAATAGGAAAAAAATAGAATTTAAAAAAAAATTGAAACAAATTTTGTGAAATAAAAGTTATAGGAAAAAAATGGAATTTAAAAAAAATATGAAACAAATTTTGTAAAATAGAAGTTATAGGAAAAAAAAATAGAATTTAAAAAAAATATGAAACAAATTTTGTAAAATAGAAGTTATAGGAAAAAAAATAGAATTTAAAAAAAAAATTGAAACAAATTTTGTAAAATAGAATTGAAACAAAATATGAAACAAAATTTGATTCATATGAAAAGGAAAAAAAAGGGAAAAAAAGAAGTTTAAATTCATAAAAAAAAAAGTTAATACAACGGCTACTAGCCGTTATATTAAAAAAAAATCAAACTATTAGTGTCGGTTATAACCGACACTAATAGTAATTAAAAATAAAAATTTTGCTTTTGAATAACTATTACTGTCGGTTATAACCGACAGTATTAAAAAATTCTTCTTTAATGCTGTCGGTTATAACCGACAGCAATAGGAAAACATTAAAAAAAAAATAGCCAGCCCGGGGCTGGCTGGCTGGCCGAAAGCAGCCAACCCTCCAGCCCTCTCTGATCCCGTGGGGCCCTCCCAAATTCCAGAGCCCTCTGGCCTAGCCTTCGGTTGGAGACAGTTTTAGGGCTAATTTCAGCCCTCTGGACCCTTCGGTTAGAGATGGCCTAAGGAACTAGACTCCCGATATTGGGTGGGCCCTACATGATTTTTGATTCCCCAATTGCTGGTAAACGGTAGAATACTTTGGAAAGAATCCAATTCCGTTTCTTCACGTTGCAATCCCAATTGGTAAACACACCATAAATGCTAGAGATTTTGATAACATACATGATCACTTTAAATGCTAAATAGACTCGCATGAATTTGAAATTGAGAGTTTTAACAAAAAAACTTCAAGTATATTGTTTACTTTAACAAAAAACCGCATTTTTACCTTTTCTGGTACTATTCACTTACATCTTTATTTGTCATTTTTTATTAAACAAAATTTTTTTTTGAGCTTTTCGTTAATTTTCTTTTTGAAATTTTATTATGCTTTATATTATTTTATATTTCAAAATTATTGTCTGTCAAATCATATAAAATCAAAGCCAACGTGTTTGATAAACCTTCTACAAAGAAGTGTTGCAACTTCGAAAATAGTATTTACTTATAAAATTGTTGTTAGTATTCCAAAAATCTCATTCTACATTCTTCATTAGTGTAACTTTTTTTTAATTATAAAAAATTCGAAATACAAAGTAAAAATTTTAGAGCGTCAAATTGTCAATAACAATTCCCATGTTGGAAACACACTACTGGTCACTCGGTTAATTACGAAAACGCATTCAGTCACTAAAATTTTGCTTTTATCAATTTAATTTAACCACTCTACCCCCTTTTGTTTGCAATTGGTGAGTTTCATGAATAAAAATTGAGCGTTTGGTTTTCAACAAAGTCGATTATTTCCACAACACCATAATACCAAACTAGGCCTTATCTTTTCCTTATGGAGCGTTATTAGATCTGTTCTAATCTCAGTTTTTTTTTCCTTTCCCAAAATTGGTTGTTCGTGTGTTTTTGGACTAGCAAAAAGAATATAAATATAATCAAGCTGTTTTACCCTTGCAGGGTTCGCAGCCGTGCAGCTGCTTGCAGAGGGACGTTGAAATAGTAAAGAAAGTAAATTGCTGTTCTTGGTCAATTTGCCATTCATAACAGTCGTGCATATGTTGGACAAAGCTCCAATTCGGGGCACATTGAGTCTCCATGTCTCAGAGTTGGCCCCAAATGATCGGCGTGATTTTAGCTCAAACAAAGCACCACAAAACAGCTTTCTTCTTTTTGGAGTAATGCTAATTGTGGTAATGAACTTGTTTATGGTTTGATACAACCATATTCTATCACGCAAGTACTTGGTCGGGCATATTCTAGTACACATGTACTAATTCGTCTTCATGGAGGGCTAAAGAATGTGGAGTGTTATGTTTTAGCCCACCAGGATATTATTTTTCATGTGCATAGTCTCGCCATCTGCTATATTTTTTTCCGTCTCCAGAAGTGAAAGGAGATAGCGATGCGTGCAAGGGGTACAGTTCGCAAAATAAGGATCTCGAAGAACTGAACAAACGTAGGACGTTACTTAATCTAACTTAGAGCATTTTTAATGGGAGTTCCTATTTGGAAACTCCTCCTCCACCATTGAGGGACTCAAAAGGATTGAACATACTTGTCCCTAAAAGATACTAATTCCAATGAATGTGTCCTTATAATATAGGCCTTAAATTTAGGGACTAAAAGATTAAAAAATCATCCTTATTTTCAAAAGAAAAAAAAAAGCAAAAAGCTATTAGGATCGTTGATTTCCCTTCAATAAACAAAAGAAAAAAAAATCAGTGGAACCCATGCATGTAGCTACACTGCAGCATATGGGTGGGCCAAGTTTTTCACTCAAAATGCCCACTGGGCTCCACCACTTTAGTTCCTATACTGTCCCTATATGTGAAGACTTGCTTTATGTATCCAGTTAGTCCCTATACTTTACCGACTCAGTTTTTGGTGCATTGGAGAATATTATTCCTCATTTATAGGGTCTATATGATCATAAGGACAGTTTTTAGGACTAGCATTGAAAATGATGTTATTCCAATTCAACATATTTCATGACAGACCCAAAATATAGTCTAGTTCATGGATTTCATGACAGATTGTTTGAGCATGAAATATTAGATTTGGGCCGAAGGTGGATAATTCACATTAGGGTTTAATTATCGGCCTAATGATATTCCTTCAGGCTAGATGGTATTCAAATATCCAGCCCTTGATGAATTCGGCCGGGTCTTAACAAAAGTGAGATTTTTAAAAGGATCAGGTGGATAAATGATTCCGCCAAGTCCTAATTGAAGTGAATTGTACAGGATCAGAACGAGTTTTGATAAGATTTGAATCATCTAAGAATCAAAACTCTTTGCTGATAAGATAAGGAATGTACCTAAAGCATAAGAGGACTAGGTTCAGAGTCCTAGTTCTAGTCGAAACCATGTGCAAATTGGTTTTGGCTAGTGATAAGATAACATTAAGAATACCAGAGAAGTGCTGAGGAAGTATGGTTACATTAAGACTCTACTTCGGCATACTTGGTCATTGCGAAACTTGCTCTTATAAATAGAAGTGATCTTGCAACGTGAAAAGGACCTTCAACTCAACACATAACCACACTGCACAAAATCTCTCTCGACGCGAAACCTTCTCATTCTTTGAAAAATCACTAACTCTCCTAACTCCGTCAACACATCTTCACTTTGGTAACAGTATTATGATGACAATTGACGGCCTCTTCAGTTTGGATTAACAATATTGGGGCTGTAGAATCAGGCAACCAAGAAGCCTCTTCAATCTAGAGTAACAACACTGCTTTGGGTTCAGTTAATTACCTATCCAAACCTCAACTCGTGAGGAGTCCTTGGTATTCTCATGAAAGAGGTCATGTCGTTAGCCCATTAGCAAAGTGAGGTGTACCAATTTACTCGGTGTTCGGCACATTAAAAGCTGAACTTTTATTGAACTTCACACTAGTAAGCTTGTCTTTAGGTTCTAGGATTCAAGACTGAAACACATTCCTCCCTCCGTTGTGTGGTCGCTTGGACATAGAAGTCAGCAGAGCACCACATTAATTCTACTTGCAAACCAAGCTCGGTCACAAGTTGACACGTCTGTATTGACTAGAAGGACGTAATTAGCTCATTAATTGCTCAGCATGCGTGTTATGTAGGCTAAATAATTTTTAGGTTCAATATGGACTCAAAATAAAGTATAAATCATGACGATCCACCAACTTATCAAATGAGGCTTCAATAATTTATTGTACTTAGTGAACGAAAGAGAAAAGATATTTTAAAATCCTGAATTTCTATAAATTGTATATCTAACTCCTTTAAAATTACAGGTGAATACTCTAAACTTTCAAGATTCACAAATTTTGATTGAACACCACCTTAAGATATATATTATTTAAAATCCTTTCTGACTATTCAGAAAAGTGATGGTGCAAAAAAAAAAAGAAAGAATTTAATCACCAATCATCTGAAAGAGAAACAATAAAGTTGAATTGATTCGAAGGGCTACTATAAGAGTCGACGCAAATGTTTATTCATAATCTTAAAACACAGATCTTTCAACAAGATGGACGGTCATCTCAACATGAACAAATACATAACCACACACATACACAAATATATCATTTTCGATCGATCAGATTCCCCGTCAATTTATATTGACCTCCTTCACCTCCTTCTTAGGCTTCTCAGTTTTAGGAATGGTTATGCTCAGTACCCCATCCTTCAACTCTGCCTTTATATCATCAACTTTGGCATCATCAGGCAAACTGAGAGTTGTGTTATAGTAACCATAGCTCCTTGATGACCAATACTCATCATCCGACCCTTCCTCGTCCTCGTCTTTGTGCTCTCCCTTGATTTCCAGAAACCCGTCATGAACAATGATCTTCACGTGCTCCTTGGCAAGCCCTGGCACATCATACTGCAGTTTGTAGCTATCTTTTTGCTCTTTGACACGCCCGGACAGCGACCATGGTGATATGTTTAGGTTGTCAAGCAGCCTGTTTATGTTCTCAGTTGCTTGTACAAGTGCATTTCCAAGGCCTGAGGGGAAGAATTCTAGGAAGTCCAAAAGAATTAATTCGTTAGAAATTTCACTTTGCGCTGTGCTTTTACAACCATTTCATCAAGTCATATTTGAGATGACTTTGAAAAACAAGGTGACACACCACATACAGTGAATATGAATCACACATTTAAATACAATTAAACAATAGGGTAAATAACTGATGATTCATGTTCACAGTCCAACAACATAATATTAAAATAAATTGTCAGGCTATCAATTGAATTATACATTTAAATAAGATTTCTAGAGGAGTCGAAATAATCAATGATCCAGATTGAAAATATGTTGTTAATACGATATTTTGAATTAATTAACCATCTGACAGCAAAATATACTAGTACGTATGAGAAAATTTAGCATCACAGACTAGCAAGAAAAATAAAATTGTAGATGAGTGAAGGAGAGTACCATAAAGCGAAGGGGCGAAGTCTCTGTCATTATCCCTCCAAAGGCCCCCTCTTCTGCGTTGCCTTCTAGGGAACAACCTCGACCTTTTGCCCTGAGACACAGCGACATCTTTGTTCTCCGATTTCTCATCGGATGCCTTGTCGTTAGCTGCCGTGGAAAACCTCTTCGCAATCTCATTGCCAACTTTGCCTCTGCACTCTCCAACTGTCCTCTCACCAACACCGTGACCTAGAAGAGAAGAAGCAGCAGAAAAAGGTGGTGGAGAAAGCACCCTTTGGCTCTGGTGCAACTTCTTCAACGCCAATCGTGCCAAAGCCATTGAAAGATAACTTAGTTAACTTAAAGGTTATGAAGATTTAGGATTTGTGGGTATTTATTGTTAGGATGTTTGCTGATGGAGAAAGGAGGAGGGCAGTGACTGAATTTAGTGAGACTTGGGCGCTTGGGTTTTGGACAAGTGTGTAGAAGAGTCTGACAAGTTCTGGCGCGTGGAATAGTGGACACGTCACAATTTGAAGGATGGTTCTTGATAATTCTTTCCTTTTCCTATCGAAGTTCTTCGATCCTTCTCAAACATGTCATGAGATAAAGTATAAGCACAATGAATTGAAGAGTAATGCTACGTTTATTGCATTTTTCATATCATATTTATACTTATATCATCTCTTTATTAAAAGTAAAGTCTATTAATAAACGAGAATTTAATTTTTATAAGAAAAACGACACTAATATAGTATTAAAATGTGATAAGATATCATTTTTGTTTCCTTTTTCCTATCAATTTGAAGGATGGTTCTTGATAAATCTTTCCTTTTCCTATCAAAGTTCTTCGATCCTTCTCAAACATGTCATGAGATAAAGTACAAGCACGATGAATTGAAGAGTAATGTTATGTTTATTGCATTTTTCGTATCATATTTATATTTGTATCATCTCTTTATTAAAAGTGAAGTCTATCAATAAACGAGAATCTAATTTTTATAAGAAAAACAACACTAATATAGTATTAAAATGTGATAAGAATATCATTTTTGTTTCCTTTTCCTATCAATTTGAAGGATGGTTCTTGATAATTCTTTCCTTTTCCTATCGAAGTTCTTCAATCCTTCTCAATCATGTCATGAGATAAAGTATAAGCACGATGAATTGAAGAGTAATGCTACGTTTATTGCATTTTTCGTATCATATTTATACTTGTATTATCTCTTTATTAAAAGTAACGTCTATCAATAAACAAAAATCTAATTTTTATAAGAAATACGATACTAATATAGTATTAAAATGTGATAAGAATATCATTTTTGTTTGACTAGTGTTTCCATGCTGCCAAGGGGAACGCATCTGATCCCACGTCTTTTCACTATGTTTACTTTCTGGCTTTTCACATTAACGATTACTAAGGGATAAGCTAAGGAAATTAGATGACATAGAAATTAATTATTTATATGTTGATAAACGTGTTTATTTTTTATTAGTAATATATTATTTAATTATTAAAATTTAGTTTATAAGTTTAATCTCTCTAGCTTACTATTTTGAGAAATAATCGAATCTAAGACATGTTAAAGACTTTTTGTAAGATTATTTTGAAAGGGTGATACTATCTATGTACTTCTTTTTGCTTCTTACATATTCTCTTTATTTTTTATTGTTGAATTAAATAAATTAAAAAAATAGAAAGACAAAAATTAACAAGCAATGTGTAAATAAATATATGAATAACATCTTCATTTTGAAAACAATATTTACTATTTTTCATAAAGTTATTTTATTCATATTAAATTTTATAGCTATCTTTACACAAGGGTCATTCGTAGAGAGGAATATTAGTTACAATTCTCTCTTGGCACTTTGCATTTTCCTCACAAAAATTGACGTTAAGCTATGAGATGATAGAGAGTTCAAGTAGAAGTGGATTTGAGAGAGCCCCGTTAACATTCTTCAAAATGTATTGTTTTTTCTTCCTAAATATAGAAAGCTTAAAGTGCACAATAAGTTTTTTTTTTTTTAAATGATAATAACAGCACCCGTTTTTATCATAAATGAAATGACTTTTTGACAATTAACCCCAAAATCACATGCAACGAAAGGGCCAAGAAAGTCATACTAATTGGACCAAAGACCACTATAAAATATGATAATGCTAAGATGATCAAATTTTTTAAACCAAAACTTTCAAACCAAATAATGCAGTTGTTAATGATTGAATTATTAAGTACGTGTCAATTAACGTGCTTATTTTTTCTAGTGACACATTAATTATTTGGCTAAAAAATTTAGTCTCTCTAGCATTATCTATAAAAATACATTTTCATATATTAAAGAACATAACTAACTTCTTAAAGTAAAGGGTAATGCTAGAGACTAAATGTGCAGACTAAGGGGGTGTATTCAATTGTGAATTTGAGAGATTTCAATAGATTTATAAATTCATGGATTTTTATAGAGTTTAATAGATTTGTAGAGATTCCATATAAAATTTTGATTCAATTTCCTCAAAATCTCATAGAGAGGTGAGATTTGTGAATAAGTAAATTACACTACAAAATCTCTCTAATTCCCTCTAAAAGCATCTCCAAGGGAGATGTCAAAATGTTTACATCATCTATAACAATAAAAAAAGACAACACTAATACACTCCAACTAAAATGCCAATTTCTATATGTTGATGACATGATTTGACAGAAAAGAGGCTACTGTTAAATTTGACAGCAACTTCAAATATTTTTTAATTAATTATTAAATGTCATTTATTAAATTTTTATTGGTTTAATTATTTATTATAATTGATGTTAATTGTTGACCTGCGCAATTTGTTTAGAGCAAGTCCACCCCAATGGGGTAGGTCAGCTCACAGCACCAAAAATGGTCCTGCACCCTCCCAAAGTCCTCCAGCCCAAGCCGTCTTCTAGGCCGGCCCAGAATGTGCTGAGCCAAGGCCCAACCTATGTGACGTCATGCTGGTGTTAGCGTGATGGCATGACATCACAGGCCCCCGAAATCGGCCGGATTGCTAAGACCAACTCCCTGCTTTGCCCCTCTCGAAACCGAGATCCCCTATAGCAACTCTGCCTAGCTTTTCCCCTCTCATCTACCATTTACAAACCTAAAAATCGAGACAAAAAAGGTAAAAAATTCTACAGTCTTTCCATTTTCATAACCTGATCCAAACCCAAAATTCAAAACAAAAAAGCAAAAAGAACATTACAAAATCACTGTGCGTATGAAACGCACAGCAATTGTCCAATCACACATGCACAACAGTCATTCGAATCACACATGCACTCCAGACTCCCTGATCGCAGACCTTCGCTGTTGCTGCCGGAGAAGCTGGCCGATGATTAACTAGATGATCCAGACTCTGATCTGGGTTTTGATTTGCCAATTGGTTCCTAGAAAAATTAAAAGAAAAAAAAAGCGAGATGAACGGAGAAAAATATGAAGAAAATGATGGAGATGAGGAGGGAGAGGGACGAAGAAAAAGAGGGACTAGGACGAAGAAAAATTAGGAAAAAACAGAGGGAGAGGGGAGAAAAAGAAGGCAAGGACAGAGCAAAATTATGAAGGATGAGGGAGATGAACGGTAAAGAAGTAGGAATGGACTAGGGAGGTTTCTAGAATGGAAAAAAAGAAGAAGGATAAATATATGAATTAAATAATGTTAAATAATTATAAATGGGCTGGGTGCTAATGCTTTTTGTAGGGATGGAGATCGTTTGTGCCAATGCATTTTTTAGACTCTGTGTTCATGCATTTTTTAAGGATGGAGATGCATTTAGCCAATTATTGTTCACTGAAGTATATAACTGTTTACTAAGTAAATTAAATGGCCTAAGTGTCAACGTATTCTTTTGGTGGTGGAGCTCTTATATCGTACATCTTTCTATTTTTTCAACCGACGAATGGTCTCCTTATCCTCTCCTTCCGTCCTTGTCCAGCTACTGGGTTTTTCTTCAGTTTGATTATTTCTTGGTTTCCTTGTGCTGTTTTGGGATTTTGGCGTCTGTGCCTTTCTCCCATTGTTTCTCGCTGGAGCTTCCCTCTGTTCCAATGAAATTCTTCTTGGTTCAAAAATAAAAAATAAAAAATAAATCAACGAGGGTGAACGGTGCCATTTAATAATTAATTTAATGTCTGTTATTAATTTTTTATTTGTTTGATCATTTATTTTATAATGTAATAAAATAATAGTTTAATTTAACATATCCCATAAAGATTAAAATTTTAAAAGATGTCAAAGTGCCACATAAGCTACCAAATTTATATTTTTTGTTCAAAATTTGACATCACCATTGAAGATCGTATAATTCCTCAACATTTTCAAATTCTTTAACACTATGTTTGAAAAAGGAAAATAAACTTGGAATTTAGATTAAAGTTAGAATTTATAAATTTATATGCATTCATTCCCTTATTTGGATTCATAAATATAGAAATTTAGAATTTCCGCATAAAAAAAAAAAGGAATTTGAGACCTCCAATTCCAAGATTAAATTTCATATAAATAAATGTCATTTATTGATTTTTATGATTGAGAGTTTAAAAATAACAAATTCCGTATTATTAATCAAACAAGAAAATTCACAAATTCTAGAAAATAAAATCTTTTCATTTCAATTTCCATCATTTTAAAATTCCTTAATAATCTTAAATTTCTTCATCCAAACATAGTGTAAAATCAATTTTTAATTGAATACATCTTGAATGTTATATACTTCTTAAACATCCTAATTTTTTTTTGTCAAACAATAAATTTTGTTAGATTAAATGTTAGATTAGTCACCAACGAAATTCAAATCCACGCCGTCATGTAAGGATTAAACTCATTTCCACCATTGTGGTAAAGGAGTACTTGCTGACACATCCCGGCTCGAGCCCCCACCACATCCCGGGCTCGACTCCACCGTAGCACGATATTGTTCGCTTTGGGCCCCTGCCACGCCCTCACGGTTTTGTTTCTGGGAACTCACACGAAAACTTCCTAGTGAGTCACCTATCTTGGGATTACTCTCGCGTGAACTCGCTTAACTTCAGAGTTCCAATGGAACCCGAAGCTAGTGAGCTCCCATAAGGCTTACATGATCCACTCCCCTGGGCGATGTGGGATGTTACAATCCACCCCCCTAGAGGCCCGATGTCCTCGTCTACACACTTCCGGCCAGGGATTGGCTCTAATACCAAATTGTCACATCCCGGCCTCAGCCCCCACCACATCCCGGGCTCGACTCCACTATAGCACGATATTGTCTGCTTTAGGCCCCAGCCACGCCCTCATGGTTTTGTTTCTGGGAACTCACATGAGAACTTCCTAGTGGGTCACCCATCATAGGATTGCTCTCGCACGAACTCGCTTAACTTCGGAGTTCCTACGGAACCCGAAGCCAGTGAGCTCCCAAAAGGCCTCGTGCTAGGTAGGAATGAGAATATACATTTAAGGATCACTCCCCTAGGCGATGTGGAATGTTACAATTCACCCCCCTTAGGGACCCGACGTCCTCGACGGCACACTTTCGACCAGGAATTGACTCTGATACCATTTTTTTTATATCCCGGCTCGACTCCGTCGTAGCATGATATTGTCTACTTTGAGCCCCTACCAAGCGCTCACGGTTTTGTTTCTGGGAACTCACACTAGAACTTCCCAATGGGTCACCCATCCTCTTGGGATTGCTTTCGCGCAAACTCGCTTAACTTTGGAATTCCAATGGAACCCGAAACCAGTGAGCTCCCAAAAAGCCTCGTGTTAAGTAGAGATGGGAATATACATATAAAACTTTCAGGATCCACTCCCTTGGGCGATGTGGGATGTTACATTTGCCCTTAAAATCTTAATTGAATATATCTGGATTTCTAAGAATTTTAACAAACTGTCTTAAAATCCTAAATGAATATAGGGGTGGACACTTAGAACCGAAAACCGAAATCGAAACACGAACCAAATCGAACCGCACCGAATGGTTTGGTTTTGCGATTTTGAAACTGAACTACAACATAGAAAACGATTTGGTTTCGATTTTGGCTTTTGAAAACCGCACCGTAAATATTAATAAACATTTAATTAAATGTTCATATTAGATTTCATGTTTTAATTGTTGTTTGTTAGAATCCATACACTTAGTACGAACTCAATCACACAAGAATATCATCATTCATCACTTTTTTACTTGAAGAACCTCTGTTATTTTATACTATCACACACACACACACACACACACACACATATATATATGTAAAAGGGTGGACTAATCTTGTTATCAAGAGTCGAACAATGATCTAATGAAGTCCACTCATTTGAAGCATGATATCACATATTCTAGTATGAAAGTTTCACTCACGTTAAATGAATTCAAAGTTATTCAACTTCTCACGTTAAATGAATTCAAAGTTATTCAACTTGTTTTATGTTATACCTTGTATGGGATACTCTTTTGTTGCACAAACATATTTTAACATCACAACTGCATTCAACATGCTAATTGTTTACATAACATATGTCTTTTTCCTATTGCTATTGGGAAATGCTTATTAATATGTTAAATTACAAATTGTAAATTTTTTTTCTTAAAAACCAAACTAAAACCAAATTGAAACCGTTTGAAACCGAACCAAACGGTTTGATTTCATTTCGGTTTTGGCTTCAAAACCGCACCGAACTGAATTGCAAAAATTTTCAATTTCGGTGTCGGTTTCGATTTCACTCAAAACCGCACCAAACCAAACCGTGCCCACCCCTAATTGAATACACTTTGAATTTTATAGAATCACTTAAAATTATGATTGAATACCCTAAAATCATCAAAAAAATTAAAATCCCAATTGAATGTTCAGGTTGGCTCAACTCATTTACAACCCTGTGCACAATTTCAAAGAAATCATATTTCCACTTTGACCCATAACTAACAAAGAAAGTGGGTTCGGTCCCAGATATAAACAGAAATGAACACTGAATCAGATACAGCAAGGGGGCGGAGGATGACAATGAAAGGAAAGTGTAGACAAAGGTCAATCTTCGTCTTCCAAAACCCCCCACTAAGAACAGTGGAAGAAACCAATCCTATAAAATCAGTTTGAATGCAACACAAGGGCGCATCTAAAATGCCACGAGAGTTAAAATCCAAGAACAAGCAAGCAAAAAATGATGTGATAGTTGATAATGCACTAGCCATGCTATTGCTTCCTATTTTCTAGGAGGCGGTAATAGTGTTACAAACACCTGGATCAACTTTCGTAACTAGCCAGCTTAAAAATCTCTAGTACCTCTGCCGCTCAATCGTACAACCCTTCTTGCTCCCAAATATCAACGAGAAAATCTACCATTTCCTGTTAATGTAGGAACCAGGAAAACAAATTAGATAGTGTGTTTAAGGATAATAGTGGGCAGGCAGGGGCAGGAGCTCACCGGGAGAGGAATAGGCTGAGGGAAAGGCTTGGAACTCCCAAGTAAACTTTCATATGACGCATTCCAACTGCAAGGGCACAATGATTTAACCATGCTGAGACAATGAGTGCTGACAAAGTACAGATAGGTACTCATGAGTACCCATCGCCTACTTTACACTTAAGAGTGAACGAAGCACTCTACGGACAATTTCCCAGTCCCCACTTAGTACATGCAATGCAACTTGGAATGAATAAATCCTTGCATTCATAGTGTTCTCGTGAATAAAACTAGCATATGGGAACTATTATTAGCACTTCAATAATCTCATTCTACACTTCTCAAAAGTGTATTTCTCCTTCTAATTATAGAAAGTTGGAGTGCAAAATCAGATTTTTGAAGTGCCAATAACAACTCTCATTTGCGAAAATTATTCTCTTTTTAATTTTTGAAAATCCACCGATGAATGTGAAAGACAGGTTGTATTCAATTGTCTAGCATGTATCTGGTTAAGCAAGAGGTCCTATGAACAAATAGTTCTTTCTGGCAGATCTAAGCATAAGAGGTCCAATGAGCTTGAATCGATAAAGAACAGAAGAAGCAACTTACCTTAATTTGGGTTCTCGAATTTTCTTTGATGGGCTCTCAGACTTTTTATTCCCTACCCAACGGTGCCTAGTCTGGTTCCAGAGAAGAAGACCTGCACCACAAATCCCAAGTAATATAACTTAAACAAGGATCCACACGCGCACACACACATTCGTCAAGGAAAAAAAACACATATGATAGCAAGATACACAAAATGACAAGAATAAAAGTTGTACGTCATTCTTGAAATCATAGAAAGTACAGTAACTGTAAAAAAAACCATACAAGATCATATTTGCAATGAAATTTAGTAGGAAAAAGTTCAAAACAAAATGGGAAATGGGTTGTTAGTAACACATAATTAGTTGACTTCATTACAGGTGATTAAACTGCCGAAGCGGCTGAGGCTTTGGAATGTCATGAGGAGTCTGTATATGACCCACCTGACAATGAGTCATTAAACCAATTTCCAATGTGAAAAAATGACTCTCAGAAATGTGAACATGAAATCCCCAGAAATTAATAAAACCTTAAAAAGCAACAAATAAGTATAGAACTTGCCATGATTTACAAATTCGGAAGGGGTGCTATTGCTGCCAGAGCCACCATGCGGATCAAGCGTCTGGTTTGTGCTGATTGATGAGATGCTTCCCTGGGACTGAACTGCACTGTTGTCCATATCCCACGTGCTGGTGGTCCAGAAATCCTCTGATATGCTTGGTTTCTTTTCAGTCCGATGTTCGTTTAACAACCTTTTCGGTGGCTCATTCACTTTAGTTTTCGGTGCGTTCTTACTATAGCATGCTAGACAACCACTGCTCTGTTACAAACCACATCTGATTCTGTTAGAAATCATATATAGTTATATAATTTAACAATACTAACTAAACATAAAATCATACGATAGATTCGCAACCATCACCAAAAGAAAGAACAGGCAAAGAAAGAACAAACATAAAAGAACTTTTTATTTCTTCAAAAAGATACGAACTTGCATTGTCAATACAAATGTGTAGTATGGCAAGTGAACACTGAACAGAAAATGTCCTCGACTATAATTACAAAGGGCTCAACATAAGCAAAAAAGAACACAAATCCACCGGCACTCACATAACTCCAGCTCCTGATATCATTACTAACCATGAGTACTCTGCTAAACCTCTTAATCAGGATATGCTAACAGGTTACAGCCAAATTCCAAAATCGAAATTATCGAAGAAACCATGATGGGACGGCTCTATTAGATATTATCCAAAGATATTCATTCAATCAACATTATTACCAAAGAGATGTTGAATCTCCTCTGATTGGCATCTGATTGGATTGACTTTAATCTAATTGAATCATAACCCGTTGATAAAAAATAAAAATAAAAAATTCAAGTCCAACCGTATAAATTCCCAGTTTCCATGTGTTTCCTGTTTTCACAAAAGAATAAATCTGAAAAGCTTTTAGCTTTTACTTAACCACATACAATCATATCACTAGGCCAAGCTAATAAGTTGGTGAAATTCCTAAAAGTAAATGCAAGTACAAATCCCAAAATCCCATTTTCGATTCATCAATTCGCAACGCTACGATGCAATCCATTTACTCTTACTTGCCCTCCCAATCAAATCAAGTACAATTGAATCTAATTAACTCCACAAAAATAACAGATGAAGAACACCCAGAAATCCCATTGAACTACCTATCCAATAAAATTTCCATATCCAGAAGAGGAATCAGAAAACTTACCCCATGCATGCAATACAAGGAAGACCCAGAAAGCAGTATCAGATCTAAGGATTTTCCCAGGAAAATGTAAAACCAATCAGCAACAAAATCCGATGGAAAACCGATTGCAGGAAAGAAAAACCAGAGAGCCCCTCCTCCTGAGAATTCAAACAAAAAAAACAACACATGTGTCTCAATCCCACGATTGAAACTCATCAAAGGAAAAAAATTAAGATAAAAAGGAAGAATATTTGATGACACCGAGACTGACCCGTGAGAAAATGTTTCTGCTTTGATATCAGTCTCTTGCTCTCATTCCTGAAATCGAAATCCAAAGGCACCCACTTCTTGAAGCAAAGAAGCCCAGAAGGGATGGCCCTTTGGATTCTTTGAGTTTTCCTTCTTCTGGTTCTTCGATGGCAATGGCAAGGGCAGGAAACGGAACAATAAACGTACGACTGAGATGGAAAGTTTATATAATGGGATTCGTGCGTGGGAGCTTCGATTCCCCACCATTTAATTATTTTTCGTGGGGCTTGTACTCGCTTATTTACCGTACATGTTTTTACATTTCCCCACCATAAATTTGGCCACATGTAAATGCTTCTGATACTGATAAAAAAGAAATGCTTTTGATAAAGTCAAATACTATTCGTCAAGGTACCAACTAAAGAAGAAAATATCGGTAATATCGGAAATATCGGTAGTCTGAAAATACGGAAATATCAATGGAAATATCGGGATAATATCGATATCGATAAAAATTACATGGAAACCACGGAAATTGTAAGAAAAACTTGGAAATTTTTATTGAAACTTTGCAGGATGTTTATTTAGTCAATTATCTATTAGTTTATCACAAAAAATTGGAAGGAAATGCATTGCATGATGGATTTAACTGATTTAAGTTGATTATATAGCGAGCTGGCAAATATTGTGAGTGTAGAAAATATGTAGTAATTAATGAAAGAAGTTTAAACACACCATAATCATTTATATATAATGAATTAGTACAATATTTTACACTTTATACATTACATGGTAACCGCAGTAACGTTCTACGATTTTGATGTGAAAAATAAGTTAACACACAAAATTAAACCCTCTTTTTATCAATTGTAGTAAAGTATGTAAGTAGGGATCGTTTTAGGCCGGAGATTAGGAGGGATTGCTAAATCACTTGGAAACTGACTTGAAAACGTAAAAACAAAGTTTAAAACACTAAACTAGAGTCAAAAAATGCAAAACTATACTTTAAAATACTAAGATAAACAAAAAGATTCAAAACAGCAAATAAACACTCAAAACTGCCTTAAAAACACTTTCTGGGTAGTTTTGAAACTCTAACACAAACTTGGACGAATTTTGGTTTTCTAATGAACTAAAACACTTAAAAACATAATCTAAGACAAGTTCTAATTAATATGACTCAAAGAAATAAGATGGGGTTGATTTTGGACGAAAATAATTAAATTAAGACAAGAACAAAGTAAACAAATTCTTAGACAAATTTAAGTGAATCAAAACAGATTGTAAAATGAATTTGAATGAAACTTATGGATGGAAGGCTAGCTAGGAGGTTCTTCTCCACACATGTCACACTTGCAATACAAAACGATTTTCCAGTTGCTTTTCGATAAGCTATGAATACTCAACGCCCCAAATTTAACCGTGAATTGCACTAATTAACCCTCAGTTTTTCCACAAGTTATTGGATTGGATGATTGCATACGACAACCCAAAACATTCCCTACAAGTTCCCTACATGAATTGCATAATAGAGATACAAGCAAGAATCATTAAGTTCTATGAAAAACATAAGCATTGACGAGGCACTCGTTACTATGATTTGCATGAAACTTATGCCAAGAAATTACTTAACGTGATTGTGACTAGCAACCTTCACTACTTTGTGAATATAAGTTCATAACGATTAGGTGAAACTCCCTTATATCTAGCGTTAAATTCATGCATGAAAATTAAGCGTGCACTCTCAACCAACATACACAAATCATTTTTTATACGAATCGGATAAGTAAATTGAATTCACAACTTATGAATCACAACTGGATGTAATCAAATCATATTGCAAGTATGAACATAGTTTCGAATCACCCCCTAACTAAGAGGGGTTTAGTTCCTCATACTCACAAAGCAAAGATACATAAAATTAGACATTAAAAATCAAAGGAAAGAAAACACCTAAAATGCTCCAACTTGGTAGCAAGTGCATCCAAGATTCCTCATTTCCCCTTGCTTGCGGCAAATTGGGTTATGGACAGATTTTGGTAGTTTTATGATGTAGAATGGATGGGGAATGGTATGGAAGGGTTTAGGGTGAGTGTGGAGGAGTGTTTGATGTTGGAGGTGGTGGAGAACTAGGTAAAGAGGGTGGGAGAAGGTGGAGTGGCTGTTTATGTTTTCTAGGCACTAGAATGGTGTTTTTGGGGTGTTTTGCTTCCTAGGGTGTGTATGGACGAAATTTTGTGAATAAAATGATGAAAATGAGGGATTGTCCTTTGGCCAAGGGGTGTAAACATGTATTTATAGGCCCCAAAAACCTTAGAAAAATCAGGTTAGGTTAAGGATGAAATGCATGGCAATTTGTTGTGTGGTGGTGCAATGGTCCAAGGGTGAAAATGAAGTAATGATGCAAAGTGTGAAGGGTAAAATGGAGTGGTGTTGTAGCTAGGAGCATGAGTGAGTGTGTACATTGCATAGAGATGAAAGGGAGGTGAAATGTGTCAACAAATGGGTCAAAGGGTGCAACAACATGTGTTGCACATGGCATTGGATTCCAAATGTGAATGATGGAGCATCAATTGGTGCATGTAATGGATGTAAATGTTGTCTAAAATCTAATGAGTGAAGGGAACAAGAGGTATCAAGCAATTGAGTGTAATAATTAAATGAATTGAAGCATGAAAATTAGAAATTATGTAGGGGACAAGCGTGGCATGGAATCCAAAGGGAATTCTACGTGGTTTGCATGGCAAGGAATGCAAGTTGGGGTGACAGATTTTTGGGTTGTTTTCTTCATCTTTTGGACCATAATTCTTCATATTCTTGGCCTCTTTAGTTCTCAAATTCGTCCATCCACTTGGCCCATGCATTTGCTATCCATTCCAAGCCCGAAACATGCTCCAAAGGCCTCCAAAATGCATCTTCTTGCATACTTTGTCCATAAAATCTGAAAACACACGAAAATGACTTTAAACATTAAAATAACTAAGGAAACACGACATAAATGCACAAGAACAAGCCTACTAAGTCGCATAAATGTGCTCCTATCAGATTTATACAGTTGACCCCATTTAATAGTATAAGGTTTTGTTGTTGTGGTTGTTGTAAACAGTTACAATTGTTGCCAACGAGATTTCATATAAAGAAACAAACACATTGCACTAAAACAAAACCAAGACTAGCATGTGTTACATTTGTGTTTTTTTTAGGAACACACTAACAAATGATCCTAAATCTTATGTGTTTATATGTCCAAGATTATTTCTTAATGATCCAAGCAAGGAAAACAAGGTACGTGAAAGTTAAACCTGAATTTCTAAATAAGTTGGACAAAACAAGAATTTTGGCAATTACCAAGTTTGAGTCCATTTCCTTCATTATGACTTATCACTTATGTAACAAATACATCCACATTATACTGACCCTTGAGTGACTGTGTTAGTCACGGGTCCGGTTCAAACTGGATTGAATGAGAATTCAAATCCTCAAAAGTGAGAGAGAGAAGAGTGACTTGAAGCAAGCCACGTATCCTCAGAAGTGAGACGTGGGAGTGGCTTGAAACAGGCCACGTGTTCTCTCTGCACACTTAGTAATTATAGCCAAATGCTTTTCTTCTTCCTCTCTCGACTCTGTAATCTGTATACTCTGCAAATTGTTTATCTCGTCCGTCCGTTTCTTGTTCCTCTCTCTACTCTGTTCACGCGAAGGTTTACTTTGCGCCTCTCAAAGCCACACCTCCACACCTGTCAAAAACACAGCAGCGCGCAGCAGTATGAGGGGGCTTCACGAATCACTACTTGCAGGTTTCCGACTTGGGCAGAGGGCGGACAATCGCGCCTGGGCTTCATTTCCGGCGAAGGGATGGGCGATGTAGCTTCGCCTATGTTCAGATCCAAATCGTGCGGCCACGGAAGAACGGAGGTGGAGAGTCAATGGCAGCATCGGCACTTCGTCAGGGGTCAATGGGATGCAGGATCTCAGGTGCTACAGCGCGTCCTACGCGTCCTCAGTGCACCCGCAGCATCAGCAGCAAACCCAGGCGGGAAACAACGGCGAGAAGTTCAGGAATGGGAAGTCGACGAATGGATCGGTGACGGAGCTTGAGCGATCCGGAAGAGGAAGAAGCGATATTGTCGATATTATCGATAATATCGACAATATCGCGATATTTTGACGATAAGTAAATGGATAAGTATAAAAATCTCTCACCAAAACGATATTATCGGCGATATTTCGCCGATAATATCGATATTTTAATCCATGGTACCAACTAGTTGGAATAGGTTAAGAGCAATGTCAGTTTAATCCACCTAAATAAATAGTAATTAACTTCAATGAACAACAATTGATCAAGTGCATCTTCATTTTCTAAAAAATAAGCTGGCCTAAAGTCTAGTCAATTCGTATTAAAATATTATTAATTTTTTTACAAAATAATTTTATTTTTAATTTCGGGTATGATTTTTAACTAATCTTGTTACGTCACGTGTCATTATCAAAAAGTATGATGGTTAGGTACTTATAGAAGAAAAAAAATTGTTTTATTTTTTTTGTATTTTTAAACAATTTTTAATAATTTTTATTAAGTTAATTAGTGAACCGTTAGATTTCAAAGAATGAAATCCAACCGCCCAAAATTGGACACGTGGCCAACGGTAATAATTCTGACATTTTTTTTCTTCAAGTTTTTTGGTCAAAAAACCTGGACCGTTAATCTAGGAATTGGACGGCCCAAATTTTGCCACGTCACTAGCCGTTGGGTTTGAAATTCAATTTTTTTTTACCGTTGGAAATCCAACGGCCGTAGCCAAGCCACGTGGCCCATGTCCTGCGCCCTTTTAGTGAGCCTGCAACGTAGGCCTGGCCTCTGTCACGTTGTCGGGGACGCACGCCCACACGCGAGTGTTTTCCACGCGCCTGATGCATAAAAAAAAAAAATCCATTGTTCATTGGCGTCAGCATGATGCCAGATAGGTCAGTTCCTACCTTAGCCCATTTTGGGCCGGCCTACAAACTGGGGTAGACTTTGGGCCCAGCCTAAAAGAGAGGGCTATAATTGCTCTAAAAGAAAGAAAAACGAAATCGAATACCAAATTAAATCGAATTGTAAAACAATCAAAACCAAACTATAATTTATTGATTCAGTTTCAATTTTAGTGGTTCAAACGAACTGAACAGAACATCAAAATCAGATTTGGATCCTCTCCTGAGCCAATGGAGAGGATCCTCCTGACCAAGCATTATGGGCCGTTAGATTTTTATCTAACGGCTATAAACAGGGAGGTCATTTTAAAGTTATAATAATTATAGCCGCTAGATGAAAATCCAACGGCTCACAATGGTTGGTCAGGAGGATCCTCTACATTGG